TCAAAAAGGTTTAAGATTATAATTATTTAAACAGCCCCAAAGTATAAGAAATACTTAGGGTGACATAGCCAAGCATCTTTGGTTTGAAATAAAAATATTTCCTTACTCAGAGCCAGATTTCACTGACAATCTGTATCCGTGGCGTCGGTGGTCTAAGTGGTTAGGCTGTCTAGCTCGTAACCGATAGAATATGGTTTCGAACCCCGTCAGGGGTCCGACGTTGTGTCCTTGGGGAATGCATATTTATATACTGGGTGACCATTATGGTATCGGGGCGGGTCGGGGCGGTTTGCTAGCCAGATTGAGGGCGTAAAGCGGCTATCGTGGCACACGCCCAACTCGTTGCCTCAAAAACAAACGCATTTGTTTTCAGGCGGCGAGTCGGGCGATTAGCCCAACCCGTCCCGACCCGACCCGACCCGACCCGACAAGATCCCATCCGCAATGGGCACTAGGCACCCGGTACGTGTTTGAACGCTTAATCGGCTGCTTGCATTGTGTGCTTTTCGTAGAGTGTTTCTGGGAATTCTGTGGTCTACTGGGGAAAAGATACTTATGTAGAGCGTGGATATATGTAAATGCAATTGTGATAACACTTAATATTATTGGTACTAGTCGACGTTATAGGTCGGTGTATTTTTTTAAAGGGTCCTTTCTTTTTTAAACGCTGTCTATTCAGTTCAATCAATTTCCATTCGCCTCAAAACTATTCATGAGTGTGTTTGGATTTTATTTTGTCGATAACTTGACTAGGCGACATATTGTTAAGTTCTTTTTTCCGACTGAAACAGAGTTGAAAATGTTGTGTTTACTTTAACAAATACCTCGCTTAACAAGGATAAGAACAGTATTAACTGGAAAGATATCTCTGCACAAGGAATGTATAAAAATAAATAATAATAGTAATAATAATAATAGATATATTACATTTGTATAGCGCAAATCCCCGCTAAACAGCAAGCTCTATGCGCTTCACAATCTATACTATTACCCCATCAGACCTGAGTGCATTCTGAGACAACCTTAACTTCCTGGGAAGCATACAGAGCAAGCAGCCATATATAGGCGCTAAAACACTAACATACTGACTAGATCTTTCGCTGTCTAATACATAAATAATAAATACATAAATAAATAAATAAATTTATTAATTAATTGATTAACCCTTTAATAAAAAT